TTAAATTTTCCAGCTACTAGATAATTGTTCGTCGCACTTTCCCATTTCATATCTTTATTCGCAGTATCCCTGTAACTCGGGATATCCTCGACTGGCTCTAAGTAACCTTTTGGCACTGTCACAAGCTGGCGACCATTCCACGCCTCCTAAACGGACGCCTATGGTCCCGCGGCCGGAAATAGTTGGCAGAATTGTTTGGGCGCCACTTGCTAAAAATTCCCAAAGTGAACTGAGATGCACTCGATTCGCTACGCCCACACTGGCCCGATACAGGTTATACAGACGACTTTCAGGGTCCAGATGGTGCGACCAGTTCTATTTCAGTTTGCGCTTGCTAATAATTTCCCAGTAGGAGCTATTGAGATCTCGGAGAGGTTATATTGGAGCTTCTCGGGCGGGCCTTTAATAGTTTTCCGCGAACCGTGAACCATAAGAATCATAACGTATTGCAACTGGTTCATGCAGATTTAGTTACTAAACGTAAACCAGAAATATGCTTATCAGTGTAAATGTTAAATATGACGCACCCTGTATGTGGGGCTGCCAACTGTGAATCCGGTTTTTGAGAAAAAAAATACATATATGTCTCAGCATGTGTACTTGAACAGGCTGAAACAACAGAAATACTGTTCCTTTATTCCGCAAACATGTTTTTTTTTTTGTAATTTACAGTCATTATTGATAAACAGCAATTTAATTTTAGTGAAAGATTATTACTTATTCAATTCTTAAAATATATACCTATTTAAAGTGAAAATCACTATCCTTTTGACACATCGTTAGTTTGGCATAACTGTAAACAATTTCCGTGCCGATATTTTAGGTAGAATTCTATATATTCAATGAGTCGACGGCCACCACTAGAGGTCGCCGCTGTCTCTTCAATAATTGAAGATAATTGGTGGAAACCTCGTTGCCAAATTGGGCGATATGTCGCAAATTAGACGAGTTTTCGTTTGCAAAACATACTTGTAAAAGTAATTTACAAAATCATAATAACTAGCAACTTAATTAATATTTTATAAACTTAACGATATTTGCTAAATTAATTTTTAAATGTTACTGTTTTAACTAATATCTGAAACTAATCATTATTACTATTTATTTTTAATTTGTAAATATTAAAATATTCTAAAAGTTACTAGATCTGGTGCTGTATTTAAAATTAATAACGCCACAACGCAAATTTTAATATTTTTTTAGAACATAAATAAGGTCAAAATTAAAATAAAAAAAATGCATATCCCATATTTTCATTTTGTTATACAGAGTGATTTCATTTTAAATACAAAAACCGCAGGAATAGATTAGTTATCAAAAAATAAGTAGAGTTTGCTCTATAAACTTTTTTCCTGAAGGACGCGGTATTCGATACAGGGTGTTTAAAAAAAATATTTTCTGTCATATCTTCATAATGCGCTGAACGATTTGAATGAAATTTACTACAGCATATTCACATAATTAGACCTTTTATTGATTGTAATATTAACCTCGTGGCATTAACCAGTGGCGTGCTACTTAAGGTGTCGCTCCGTTTTCCCTATAAGGAAAAAAGGTTATTGAGCAAACTCTACTTATTTTTTGGTAATGCGTCTAGTACTGCAGTTTCTGTATTTAAAGTGAAATCACCCCGTATGATTAAAAAGATGGAAAGTACCTATAAATGTAATATTTGGAGTTATTTTTTGGAAATTTTTGACATTTCTCACCAATGATGCTTATATTAATATTATAGGGCTTTCATATGTTTATAGAATTATTATTCTCAAATTTCCAGAATTACTAGAATCTAAATCGAACTTGATATTAAATGAATAGATGCTATTTTTATTCATTGTGTTTTGTGCGCTATGTTCGTCCAGAACACTTTAAATCTATTTCGTATCTTAAATTTACATTGTCCAAATTTTCTTGTTCCATTTGAGCGTCACCTGACAAGACTATTATCGTTATTTCTTCTTAAACTACAAAACTGCGAAAAATAATACGAACAATGACTCATTCAATTATTTTATAAAGTTTCATTGCAGTAGAGTCGTTTATAAATATTGTCGATTCATTTATTGCAGATTTCAACACACAGAGGGCTCAAATCGGTACCTTGCGGTATCATTTTCTATCAGATGTTAATTGAAGTGATGTCACATTTTGATTAAAATCTAAGCCTTGCAAAAAATGCCGGTCCATTGGCATATATAATAGTCTTCCCCTTATCGGTGACTATAAAATTTGGCACAGGATATCCTATGACGCTGCATATCATTTAGGATCCTTGGAAGTGAGGAAGTGGTCAAATACTCTTCGCGGACAAGGATAATCTATAAATAGAATTTCGGGAATTCAAAAAATTTATGCATTTTACGTTCTACGATAAATCATGTGTAATTTCAGTTGAGGTTGACCATATTTCTATTTTGGTAACCGGTCGCTTGCCAAGATAAAAGTTAATAAAATTAGTATCAAGACAATACCCCACAAATAGTCTTTCATTGTATGCAATAGACTAGAAAATTTCCAGATTTGACACCAATTGATTTTGTATTAATCAAATGCATTACTAAATACGTTTAATACCATATGTTTTCTCGCTCGATTGTATTCAATGACCCAAATTGGGCTGGGAAATAAAAGGGATGGTTCGAACTATAACTATTAACGTCTGGTCGTACAAAGGAAACAACTCGACACCCATCCAAGTAGATAGGCATCAGCCTTGCCTCCAGAAGTTTAGCATATAAATAAGACCGTAGGGCGCTGGCACGAAGTGCAGTGACCCACTCACTGCATTGTTATTTATCGGTTTCAGAGGTCGACAGACATGGTGTGCAACAGACAACCACCAGACTCGAGTAGGTGTTTGTCTCAAGTCCAAGAACACGCTCTTCAAAAATGTAACTCGTAGTTTTGCTGTTCTGTGGACGATTTATACGTCAGTATGAAATATGTTCGATTGAGTTCGAATCAGGAAAGTTCAACGGCCATATCTAGATATTGTATATGCTTTGATTTACATTGCGCCTTCATTAAACAGCGTTAAAACCGAAGCCGTAACTGGCCTTGTATCGCAGTAAGTTTCATTTGTTTATCTGTATATGTGGCTGTGGTCTGTGGCTGAACCTTTTAGGTAAACTACATGGACAGGCGTCAGTTGTCGCAGAATTCTAGGAAACCACATTAGGTCCCAGTAGGCAGTGACTAATCAATCGGTTTATGTCTGAGGTTGTTCTTTGTAAATATAGGCTAAAAATGTTTTTTCCTCGGGTCATTCTTAGAGCGAAAACACGTAATAATGCTCTTCTAAGTGATAAACTGAGTGATAAAATCTACAGAAAAAGGATAAGGCATAGTATGGGTGAACCTTTAAAACGTTGATAATAGCCTGTAATGTAAGGCCTCATATCTGATGCGTGACGTCAGTATCAGTGGGTGTTAGCTTAATTTAACCACTTTGGCAACTCTTAAGGTTCATTATATTGTAAAACGCGATTTTCAAACATATTACATATAATTATTGTTGTTTGTTAGCTAAAATTACCCAAGAGTATAAATGAGATATTATAATCATATTTTATGTTCCCTTCATGCACGCCCCTGGGGCCCAACAGCCTCCCATAATCCTGTGATATATTCCCGACAATTCCGCAATTGAGCCGTATTCATAGCCTCATCAGGACGTTTCGTCAGCGATATTGACAGGTCAACAACTCCATAGCTGTTGCTCGTTTTATAAGTCATCTGCCATCGGCCCTAGTTAAGCCTTAATTGGTTTAATTGCGTAAACAGAGACGGGGGAACGATGCTCCTACGGCTTCTAGACGTCACAGAATGTCAGCAAGTTGTTCAACAAACGATAGAAACTCGAAATGTCTTAATCGCCTTAAATCCTCATGGTCTCTTTAAAGGGACTTTTCATAGAACTATATTTAATTATACTATCCGGTTCGAAAGACCAAACGTAACATAAACAGACAAATAAAAAAGCGACGTGTTAAATATATAAATCAAAAGGTATCTGCAGGCTGGGCATATCCTTTCCAAAGTGTAGTAGAAATATGATACCCACTCGGCTGGAGAAATTTTTCGTAATTAACTAAGACAGAGAGGCAATTGTTTTGATTTATGGTCACATCCGAAACCAAAAAGATCATGCTTAAGAGTAAAGCGATACCATCGCCTTAAATTAATGAAGACAAAAATAAAATATACACCGTGATATTGTCGAGGCTCATTTGTTCATTTTTTATGATTAATTAAAATGATAGAGTAAGAATATGTATTCCTCCTTTGTTGATTTCACCTTTTATGACGCACGAAAACCTGCTTCTTTTAAAAACTTATTTGTTTGGACGTCCGACTCCAATAATATTTACCCAATGAATATATCGCCTGTAAGTAAATCAAACCCGGCGTTTATTTAATTTAAATTAATGATAATGGATGTAAACTTGCCTGCTCCAGGGATTCTGTATTTATTTTTTGATCCACATCGGTAACATTGTCTTGTACCAGCACTAGTTTCCGCATAGTATTTGGATCTAAATAAACAAATTCGTTACGTACAGATACGAAAGGAACGACCACCATATGGTTTTAGTGAAAACAGATCAATATATAGGCCGCTGCACACGCACAATGTCACCATTATACAGGCTTTACTGTGTTTATAGACCAGCTTTATGTATCTTTTACAGTTCTATAAAATACATTCAATACACAAACTTTACACCTTACAAGTCAATGAAATGCCTGTAGGGACATACCGATCTTTAAAAACAAATTGGTCTTTGTTAGAAATCATAAATGTGACCAACGTTTCTTCTCATTATATATATTTTTCATGCATTTAGTTTTATATTTTCGGGAATAAATGATGAAAAATATATCAATAAGAAAGCATTGTTAATTTTTAATAGCGCGATACCGGCGCCATCTGTCGATCAGAAGTCGAACCAACAATTTATTGGGTAACGGTGATTACAGTTTCCTCTTTTTGTTTGCAGCAATCCTACTTGATGCAGTTCGGGTATATGGACCGAACGAGAGATGGCGCCTTTGCCTTGCGAACGGAGGAATCGGTTCGCGATTCGCTGAAGGAGTTGCAGGAGTTCGCGGGTTTGAATGTAACGGGACAACTGGATGAACCGACGAAGAAGTTGTTAAGGACTCCTAGGTGCGGGTTACCCGACAAGAACGTCGAGGAATTTCGACAGACTTCAGGAAGGAGGAAAAGATTCGCCATCCACGGACCCAAATGGCCGCATACCAATCTGACGTGGAGGTAAGTCTTCACCATTAACATTTTTAAATTAAGAACTGAAAGAAATGTGCATATTTTTAATTTTTTTGTATAATCTATGAGAAGGAATATTATCTTTTCCAATCCTGTTAGTAATTTTGTATAAAATGTATACAGAGTGTAATTAAATTGCTTGGCCAAACTATATAATGGCGGATTTTAAGTGACAAATTAACAAAAAGTGTTGCAATAAATAAACGTATGATCAGAAATGCTTTGCTTTCGAGAAGCCATTTCTATCGAATATTATCCATAAATGTAAGCGCATATTACAATTTTTTTATACAGAAGCGTAGTTTCATGGGGTGGCAAAGTAATTTTCTCACTCAGCTTTATTTTATTTCATGCTTTGCTATATAATGACAAAATTCTGAAGGATTTACAAAAATTAATTTGCATTGCATCTTAATTAAATATTAGACTAATTATCGCTAAAAGTATCAAAACTTAGACAAACAAAAACAAAAATAAGAATTAGTAAATTGATCTCGTTATTTCTGAATGAAATAAAGTATTATCCTATTGTGTATTTTTTACATAATTTCCAGCGTAAAAATAGCTTTTATAAGAGCATTTCGATTAAAAGTTTTTATTGCCCAATTTTATTGCATTATTTCAATTATAAGGATTATAAGTAAGAACATTAGTATTTTATTTGTTAATTATTTTATTAAAATTTTTATTTGAATTCAATTTTACGAAAAATACACCCACCGTCGATGATTTCTAACCAGTGGCGGGTGGTGCGGGACGGGCGCCGCCCCCACTGTTGTTAAATTTGTAATGTGCAGTCAATTTAACTCGACTGCCAAAATTCATTGAATACGTGGGCTCCTTCTAGCTCGCTCCTAAATCTGGAAAGTGCTTACTGCGGTGATCATGGTTACCTTCGCGCAGCAGCGAAAGACGGAGTGGGAGTAGCGCATATTTACCATGCGGTTTGGGCTGTGTCTAATTTGCCTGCAACCAAATAACAGCTATCTGTCTATTGAAAAATCAATACGGGAAATATCGAACTTTAATGAAAAAGTAATTGAAAGGTTATTTAGCACAAAAGCAGAATGGACTCTCACTATAAAAAATAATGTTTAGCACACTTTCCCTGTATTTCAATTAAAATAAAACTACTCAATTATATTTGATTTTTTTTTCAATACTTTGTACTTAATAATTTCCGTCCTCTCTGGTATGCAGCCGCCACTGCTTCCAACCACCATGCCTCTACAATGTACACTCTCATTTTATGAAACACATCTGTGTCTTTCTCTCGAGTTTTTAACAAAAGCGGTAGAGAATGATTTTTTGTACTTGTATCTGAAATAACTATACTGTTCACACTCCCAAACATTTTCAACAAGTTTGGACACATTGCACCTTATTTCGACACACGTTTACAATATTTTTTTTTGTTAATTTTGTGATAGAAATTCATAAAGTTTGTCCAGACGGTATCTGTTTCAAAAAGCCATGTTTGGGTGAATCGTATATCCACGGAGATTTTTGGCTTTTTGGCTTTCAAATATCACTGGAAATGAAAATTTTTCTATGCGCATAAAAAAAAACGTGGGCTTAACTTTTGGCGGCACAATATGTTAAAAAAATTGGAAAAATTTCATATTTTTCTTCTTATTTAATTATGTATCTTTTTAGGAGTTGATTTTAGGCGAAAATGGAAGAGGAAAAAAATGTTTGTAATTAATTTTTTTACAATACATGACTGGTTACAAATCGAATGAATCATGATTATTATGGTAGAAATCGAAAAAATCACAAAAATGGGGTTAAAAAACAATACTTTTTAGGGAATTTTTTTGGTGTATTTAAATTGGGTGTAGGACCTTTATACTTGGCACCAAATTTCATCAAAATCGGTTCAATAGATTTTGCATAATAATTTTACAATCCAGATTAAAAAAAAATGCAAATTTTCAAAATTTTACACAGCAAAAACCAAGGCCCTTAGATACTTGAAAATTTAATCACATATATAAGGGCTCTCGGACTTTCAAACTTTTTTTGAAAAATTCGCATCCGTCAATTAGGAGAGCTCTGGCCCTTGTTTAAACATTGGTCGAATTTTTGTACTTATAAACAATTAGAACTTTGTGAATATTTAATCAAATCAATTTTTTAAAGCAGGTTTTAAAAGTTCTTGGAAAGACGCTTCTTTTAAAAAAAACAGATCGATTGATCAATTAGTTACGTAGTTATAGACGATTCAATTTCGAGCAGGCCGAAGCGGCATAAATAACTTTAAACATGTTTTAAAGTAGGTTGCCAATGAAGAAAAGTATTGTAATCTTAGACCTGGTAAGTACTCGGAATACCAAAGGTATTTTTCGAAAAATTAGCCCGGATGTCCCAGTACATTTAGTGTAAATGACGGCTATAACTACGTAACTAATTGATCAATCGATCTGTTTTTTTAAAAAGAAGCGTCTTTCCAATAACTTTTAAAACCTGCTTTAAAAAATTTGATATATGAAGTATAAAAATTCGACCAACGTTTAAACAAGCGCCAAAGCTCTCCTAATTGACGGATTCGAATTTTTCAAAAAAAGTTTGAAAGCCCGAGAGCCCTTCTATATGTGATTTCTATATGTGATTAAATTTTCAAATATCTAAGGGCCTTGGTTTTTGCTGTGCAAAATTTTTAAAATTTGCAATTTTTTTTTAATCTGAATTGCAAAATTATTATGCAAAATCTATCGAACCGATTTTGATGAAATTTGGTGTGATGATTCTACATAATATGAAATTTTCTTGAGCCAAGTATAAAGGTCCTACACCCAATTTAAATACACCAAAAAAAATCCCTAAAAAGTATTGTTTTTTAACCCCATTTTTGTGATTTTTTCGATTTTTACCGTAATAATCATGATTCATTCGATTTGTAACCAGTCATGTATTATAAAAAATTTAATTACAAACATTTTTTCCTCTTCCATTTTCGCCTAAAATCAACTCTTAAAAAGATACATAATTAAATAGGAAGAAAAATATGACATTTTTCCAATTTTTTTAACATATTGTGCCGTCAAAAGTTTAGCCCACGTTTTTTTTTATGCGCATAGAAAAATTTTCATTTCTAGTGATATTTGAAAGCCAAAAAGCCAAAAATCTCCGTGGATATACGATTCACCCAAGCCAAAACAGATACCGCCTGGTCTATAAGTATTATAATTACTCCCTATAGATTTTAAAATACCTTTAATATCCAAAAAAGACAATATTTATATTCGTATTATGCTTTACTAAGTAAGATTTATTTTATATTAATTAGTTATCCGTATTTTACAAACAATTTCGTTATTTTAAAATAAAAAAAAGTCGCCCGAGCAGGGACTTGAACCCTGGACCCTTGGATTAAAAGTCCAATGCTCTACCGACTGAGCTACCCGGGCTTATGTAAAGTGTTTCGTGTGTGGTATAAACATCCGAGGTACTAATTTTAAACTATTTACAAACATTTTGATTCCCACACCATTTTATAATTTTTAATCGGCATGAATTTAATTCTAAAAACATTGAGAACTTTTGAAACTGCAATTTAAATTGAAACTAAACAACTGTTTACTTAAACTTTATCGCCGCGGTCAGAACCATTTCATGTCCTGCCTAATTACACCCAATTTGTTCCAAAATTCCCGGACGCTGCATTATGCATGAGTTTATCAACTAGCCACTAACCCCTTCAAGTCCAGGACCGCACGAATTAAAATAATACCGAGGAGGAGAACGGAACCGTGCCGGCTCCGTTTTGTCCCCGTACGACAAACGAGCTCCATCGAGTGTCATTGACCAGATGGCATTAACGAACATGTGCTAGTTAGTTCCATATTCATCGGGGCTGATATTCCAGCAAACTGAGCCCGAGTAGTAACGTTCTGATCCAATTTTCCGACGCATTTTTTAATTATCAGCGCAGGGCGCAAAGAGCCGTTTGTTTAATAAATTAGTGCCTTATTGGATCACGTAGGGCGTTGACCTCCGCAATCGCCGTGACATATCGTGGCACTAAAATCACTGCGATGTAACGACTCGCCAGGAATGACTTCAGTGAATTACACAGCCCCACAAACAAAAAAAAGTTCTGTACCAGAGACATGAATACATAGATCTTGTATAAGTATATTTTGTTGCTGAATCCGCATCCGCTCCTACGAGGGGGTTAGTTCCACATCTAAGATAAAATAATGAATGTTGGTACAAAACAATGTAAAAAATCATAGCCTTGTATTTTAAATGTAGGTTGATGGACAACTTATCAAAAAAATTAAATATAACTTGTCCCTCTAAGGGTAGGAAACCATCACCTACACCAGGGTCTCACCTGCCCCTTGGGTCACACAGTTTTCTATTCAATATTTTTGCCTGAATTTTGTCACCGGGTTTTTGGGGTCGCTGATTACGAATCTGTGCCCGAATCCGCAAATTCCTCAATAAAATATAATAATAATAATAATAATCTTTATTGCCCAACAGATAAACTTCATTTACAGGACAAATAAATTACAAACAATATTAAAGATACAAACAATATTATACGGGTGATGGTGATTTTTAAGTTGGGTAAATCCTTCTACCGCCAAATTTTTTTCTATGAAACCGCTTTTAATATGTTAATAAAATTGTACAGGCGTTGATAACTCCAAAAGTCGCATATTACTCGATAAGCGGAATATTTCTAAATCTATCAGTGGCGCACGTACCAACAGATAATTCAATATTTTTTAAGAAAAAATGGTACGCTACTGTTTTTTCGAAACATAAAAATAATTTTTGATTTCTCTGTTCAGTTCTGAAGAAAACTCTCTTGAGTTTTTTTCACACGACTCATGGTTTTCAAATAAAAAAAAAATATAGTTTTATTCCACATTCAAAAGTTACCCTTTAACTCAAAATTACTTAAGTAGGTATGTTACGAAAATTTTACTAAACTTAATCTAACTGATATGCTCAAAATGAGCTCCATTTACTTC